CAATAAAAAAAAAAACTAAAAAGGTTAAAAAAAAAGTAAAAAAAAAAATCAAAAGTTATCTCTTTTATTTCAATTTCGCACAATCTTTTCATGTTCAAGCACTTTAGTCCAAAGAGTTTCAAACTTTTTCAAATCAGTCCTTTATTTTTTATTTTAATCAAATCAGTCCATTTAATTTTTATTTGTGTTTATTGTGCATGCACGTTCTTGATTGTCTATTTCAGTCCAAAAATTAAAAAAATGTTTTGATTTGGTTTATCTCTTTTTTCCAAGTTTGCTTTTGAAGATTCAAACATAAACATGATAAATAAGTTGAATTAAAACCTCAATTTTAAAGTATGCAACCGTGTTTAAACGGAGGATTGTAAGGTGCGCATATGTCCTTTTTTACTCCTAATCGAACCCCCAAACCCTGATCTTTGCGCAGACACGTTTTAGGTGACTTGTCCCACCTTATAATTTGGACGAGTGGCGACTTCGTTTTCTTTTATATTTTCACAATTGATTTTTCATTGTTTTGAAAAAATCTTAAGTGGTCGTCAACAGGGAGGTTAATACAAAAAAAAAAAAAGCAATATATTAAAAAGAATCTTAATTTTCTAACAAATCAAGCACTTGTTTTTTTCTTAACCTTAAATTTTTCCTTTTTAGATGATCCTTATATACCATGTTAATCAAGATAAATTCAGAAAAGAAATCCTAAACATTCAAACACTTCTTCCATTTTAAACCTTATTCAATCCATTTAGCTCTATCAAAAATCATCTATTAACTAATGGATGATTTCAACAAAATGCAAGTACAATCAACCCAACTTCTACAAAATTGAACAGTAGGGTTAACCAAGGAAATTCAATTAAAAGAATCCAAAAACTCAACTAAGAAAAACTCAATTAAGGTCTAGAGTCCCCATAACCATAGAATTAGGAACTTTTATCTATCTTTGGTATGAGAATTTAGATCTGATTTCATTGTGTTTCCTTTTAGAAAACCATTAATTGTATATGTTGACGTGCCATAATGGATGGAGTTGCTATTTATCCAAGTGAAGTGGGATAGATCACAAAGGTCTACGTAGAAATTGACTAAGTTCAAAGTGTCGGTTAAGCGTGGGGAAGGTGTTAGGCACTCCATAACTTCCATATAATATAGTTACCACCTACTTTCATTTTGGCACTTTTCAATTTTATATCAAAATAATAATTACCAAAAAATAAATAATAATAATAATAACAATAATAATAATAATAATAGTAAACAAAAAAAATCACTTCCAAAAGAACAAA